ATAGATAGATAGATAGATAGATAGATAGATAGATAGATATATAGATAAATAGATAGATATGAACAGAATGAGATAGATAGATAGATAGATAGATAGATAGATAGAAATTAACAGAATGAGATAGATAGATATATATGAACAGAATGAGATAGATAGATAGATAGATAGATAGATAGATAGATAGATAGATAGATAGATATGAACAGCATTAGATAGATAGATAGATAGATAGATAGATAGATAGATAGATAGATAGATATGAACAGCATGAGATAGATAGATAGATAGATAGATAGATAGATAGATAGATAGATAGATAGATAGATATGAAGAGAATGACAATGTGTGTGTATGTGTGTTTATACCTTTGTCTCTTTCGCTTGTGACGGAATGAAGATTTTTATTTTCGAGAGCTCATTTAGGTCAAACGGACACACATCCTCCAGTCTCAGGCCGCTGCCATTTATACACGAGAACGCCCGTGGATAGAAGGTCGAAAAAGATGATTGGAGTATCTAGTTATATGCTCTACATTCAGTCACTGACCGGGGTCGTGTCGGTGGACGTGTCCGGGGATTTGCTGCAAGCGGGAATTTGGTCAGCGTTAGGCCGGACAGGCGAAAGTAAACAGAGGAAAAACTGGTCCGAGGTGGAAAGAAAATGAAACAAAAAAAAACTAGTAGTGGAGAGTGAGATGATTAAAGAATGAGGAGGGGGAGACATAGAAAAAGAATTAAAGAGAAGAGAGAAAGAGAGAGAGGGGAAGAAAAATAGAAAATATGCTGATGACAAAATATAGTATCAACAATTAAGAGAGGTTAAACTGAAAAAAGAAAGAATGATACCTACATTTAATAATGGACGTGGAAAGAAAGAAAGAAAGAAAGAAAGACAGAAAAGGAAAATTATGTATAATCAATATAGAGAGAATGAATGATTGACTGAATGAATAAAATGAAAAGTGGAAGAATGGTATCGATATTTAATTAAGAGCAAGAAAAGAAAGAAAGTAAGAAAGAAAGAAAGAATGAAAGAAAGTGTATTATCTTTTTCAGGTCGAGAAAGAAAGAAGGGGTGATATCTAAATTTAAGGACGTGAAAAGAAAGAAAGAAAGAAAGAAAGAAAGAATGATATCTAAATTTAATTAAAGAAAGAAATAAAGAAAGAAATAAAGAAAGAAAGAAAGAAAGAAAGAAAGAAAGAAAGAAAGAAAGAAAGTGTATTATCTTTTTCAGGTCGAGAAAGAAAGAAGGGGTGATATCTAAATTTAAGGACGTGAAAAGAAAGAAAGAAAGAAAGAATGATATCTAAATTTAATTAAAGAAAGAAAGAAAGAAAGTGTATTATCTTTTTCAGGTCGAGAAAGAAAGAAGGGTGATATCTAAATTTAAGGACGAAAAGAAAGAAAGAAAGAAAGAATGATATCTAAATTTAATTAAAGAAAGAAAGAAAGTGTATTATCCTTTTCAGGTCGAGAAAGAAAGAAGGGGTGATATCTAAATTTAAGGACGTGAAAAGAAAGAAAGAAAGAATGATATCTAAATTTAATTAAAGAAAGAAAGTGTATTATCCTTTTCAGGTCGAGAAAGAAAGAAGGGGTGATATCTAAATTTAAGGACGTGAAAAGAAAGAAAGAAAGAAAGTAAGAAAGAAAGAAAGAAAGAAAGAAAGAAAGAAAGAAAGAAAGAAATTTATACGTTTCAGGTCGAGAAGGTAAGAAAGATGAAAGAAACGAACAAAGGTGGAATGATACCTAAATTTAATTAAGGACGTGTAAAGAAAGAAAGAAAAAAAGAAAGAAAGAAAGAAAGAAAGAAAGAAAGCATATTTTCCTTTCCAGGTCGAGAAGAGATGATATGTAAATTTAAGGTCGTAAAAAGAAAGAAAGAAAGAAAGAAAAGAAAGAAAGAAAGAAAAGAAAGAAAAAGAAACAAAGAATGATATCTAAATTTAATTAAAGAAAGAAAGAAAGAAAGAAAGAAAGAAAAAAAAGAAAGAAAGAAAGAAAGAAAGCATATTTTCCTTTCCAGGTCGAGAAGAGATGATATGTAAATTTAAGGTCGTAAAAAAGAAAGAAAGAAAGAAAGAAAGAAAGAAAGAAAGAAAAAGAAACAAAGAATGATATCTAAATTTAATTAAAGAAAGAAAAGAAAGAAAGAAAGAAAGAAAGAAGAAAGAAAGAAAGCATATTTTCCTTTCCAGGTCGAGAAGAGATGATATGTAAATTTAAGGTCGTAAAAAAAGAAAGAAAGAAAGAAAAAAGAAAGAAAGAAAGAAAGAAAGAAAGAAAGAAAGAAACAAAAGAATGATATCTAAATTTAATTAAAGAAAGAAAGAAAGAAAGAAAGAAAGAAAGAAAGAAAGAAAGAAAGAAAGAAAGCATATTTTCCTTTCCAGGTCGAGAAGAGATGATATGTAAATTTAAGGTCGTAAAAAGAAAGAAAGAAAGAAAGAAAGAAAGAAAGAAAGAAAAAGAAACAAAGAATGATATCTAAATTTAATTAAAGAAAGAAAGAAAGAAAGAAAGAAAGAAAGAAAGAAAGAAAGCATATTTTCCTTTCCAGGTCGAGAACAGATGATATGTAAATTT